TCGCTCCGCCCTATACGTCGCTCCGCCCTATACGTCGCTCCGCCCTAACGTCGCTCCGCCCTAACGTCGCTCCGCCCTAACGTCGCTCCGCCCTATATGTCACATCAGTCAAAATATGTCTAATAAAGTGGAAAAATCCATTGCCGTATACGTCGCATCTATTATGCGCCACCACGGACGCGTCGCGTTTGTTAAGCATCACCGTGCTGACAACCTGGAAAAGGGGGCCGCTGTTGTGTCAAAAATCAATTGGCTGCCAAATGGCAGCCACTGGGGAGTGTACAGGAGGACTTTAACAAGAATTTAACTAGATTAACACTTAAAAACAATTATTTGTTTGCTCGACATTATAGTAAAGGTGCGTCTCAGCCTAACTTTTGCTTAATAAATGCTCTTTGACGGTCAAATCAGCTGCATTTGAAAAGTATTTGCTGCCTCGGTGTTCCTGGGAGCGCACAGAGGGAGGAAAATAGGGAGGAATGCTGTGCGTTTCTTCAAAATTTAACAAGAAAAGCACCTAAAACAATTATTTGTTTGCTCGAAATTATAGCAAAGGAGTGTCTCAGTTGAACTTTTACTTAAAAAAATGCACTTTAATGGTCAAATTAGCTGCATTTTGCCGAGGCAGTGCAGTGAAATGAAGCTGGTTTAACAGTTGCTCCAAGCAGCAAGCAGAACAAAGGTGGCTCTCTATGGCAAGCCGATTGTGCTAGTGAAGTTTCTCAGTCATCCAGGACATGGTAAATTCAAAAAAGTTCAAGACAAAAAGAATAAAGTATAAAGTAAAGTATAATAAATAAAGTCCAGTTGCTTTTGTCGTAAACTTTTTTGAACTTGTTATTATAGCCACGTTTACCTATTACACGATACAATGGCATGCCCTACTACTCTGGTGCCATCTAGCGACTGAAAAATGGTAGTGTTCAAATTTTTCAGTCAAAATGAATGAAATTGGCCATATCTCAGCCAAAAATTGGTTTATAAATATGGGGAAAAAATCCATAAATATGTTGCTTCGGCCTATAAGTCGCAGGGCATACAAATTATACAAACCCCCTCCCCACAAAACTGTGACTTATAGGGCGAAAAATACAGTATCTTAATCTGGTGGCTGATCCATGTCAACTGACTCCCTTTCGATGCAAAGGAGCAGCATTTCTACTCCGAGCTCCCCCCCAGATGATGGAGCTCCTCACCTTGTCTTTTAGTCTGAACCTGGCCACCCATTGAAGGAAGCCCATTTTGCCCACATGTATCTGGGATCACATTCTTTCAGTCATGATCCAAACCTCATGGCCATAAGTGAGGTTTGGATCTTAGGCTTAGCTCTTTCTTCACTATGACTGACCGAAGCAACATCCTCGTTACTGAAGATGAGTCTCTAATCTGTCGATCCATCTCCCGCTCCATCTTAACATCACTTGTGAACAAGACGCCCAGATACTTGAACTCCTCCATCTGAGGCAAAGTCCCCCCACCCCAACCCCCGACCTGGAGGGGGCATTCTGTTTTTGGTCAAGAACCATGGCCTCAGACTTTGAGGAGTTCACTCACATTCCAGTTGCTTCACACTCAAACCAAACCAGTGCACCCTGAAGATCTTGGCCCAAAGACGTTAGCAGAACCACATCATCCACATAAAGCAGAGATGAGACCCTGAGGTTCCCAAACCAGACCCCATCCTCTCCACGACTACCTTGAGATCCTGTCCATCAAAACCACAAACAGGATTGGAGACAAGAGACAGCCTTGTGGAGTCCAACCCACACTAACAACAAGCTCGACTTTGTGCCAAGAATGTAGACACAGCTCCTGTTTTGTAGGATGTCTGTAAACTGACTCTCCATCATTTGAGGAAACCAAAGCAGTCCAACACAACTAACTTTAAATCAGTTTGTTATGTGGGTCTGATGAGCTATATGTTCTCACCAGGACACACACAACTACACGTGTGTGTGTTTGCTCTATTTGAAGCTAAATGAGCACAGATTAAAGTGTGGTCGGCATTATTAACATTCGAACATACACTCTGTCAGATGATCACATTATTACTCAAAATGACTTCATATTCTAGTGCAAAATTTCAATATTAAGATGTAACTGAGATAAATGAATCGTGCACTGAAGCCTTTTCAGAACTCAAATCTGTTGAACATCCCATCTTTAGACTCTGCTCCCCTCTCACCTCTCGGAGCCTCGTTTCCAGCTCCTGCACGCGACTCTTATGGCTTTGCTCTTGTTGGCTCATTTTCTCCAGGTGTTCTTCCAGTTTGGCATTCTGGGCCTCCAGCTTCCCTGCTTGAGACTCCAGGTAGAACTTCTGCTGACGAAGCTCTGAAATCATTTCCTCCTGAGTTTTCCTGACAAGATCACACAGTGACCTCAGCAGAACCACTTGACAGAATGCTGTGCAGCAACCCCGAGATTTACAAACAGCATTAATAAACACGATAAAATACAACGTGAAGGCTGAATGTTTTGCTGAAGAAGCTGAGTTATTAAAGGTAAAGAGCAAGCAGAATGCCATCTAAAATCAAAAAGTAGCTAAACACAAGCTAAAAGCTAATATGAAAATGCTTGCTAAAAGCTGAAAGTAGCAATAACTTGCTAAATGGCTAAAATAGAAAAAGCTAGCTAAAACCTAAATGTAGCAAAAGGCAAAAAAAGCTCAAATGTGTGTCTAGCTAATTCTAAAAGCAGAGAAAGGTTAACTAAATGCTAAAAGCAGCAAAAGGCAGCTAAAGGCTTCATGTAGCAAAAAGCTAACTAAAAGAAGATAGTCTAACTAAAGCTAAAAGTAGAAAACAGATAGCTGAAAGCTAAAAGTAACAAAAGGCCAGCTTAAATCTAAAATTACCAGAGCGGCAGCTAAAATTTTTAAAGTGCCTAAAACTTGCCTAAAAACTAAAAGTACCATAAAAGGCTAAACTAGAACCAGGATGTTGAAAAAGATTTCAGAAAGAAAAATGTTTCTGAAGGAAAACAATAGATCTCAATGCATTCCTATGTAAAATACTTTGTTAAATAAAGTTAATTATTTAGACATTTTTACCAAATGTCATAGTACCCATCTCCTGAATGAACTAAACATTTTGACTGTGAATGGCTAAAGTAGCACAAAGTACACAGAAGTAGTGAGATTTTAAAAAATCATAAGGAGAAATAATAAACAGGCTGAGTCAGCATTCAAACGATTACTGTGTATCAATCATAAAAATAATTAAAGCTTTGACTGAAATGATAAAATGAGACATTTTATCCTTTATATCCAAGTTAATAGCACTTCTTTGTGTAGGTACTTACATGTTTTTCTGGGTATAGATACTGCTGTTGGCTGCCAGCTTGTTGGCCTCTGACAGCTCAGCGATCCTCTGCTCCAGGCTGTTCATCTTTGAGTCCATTGCATTGATAGTCTGAACACAAAGTGTGTTGAATATTTACTTAGTGTTTCCACATACTGGAAGTAAATGGCATCAAGACTCATATTTGTGTCTCACAACAACAATATTACAAATGATCTATGTTGGCTTGAATAATTTAAAAATACTCCTGAAGCCGAGCCATATCCAAGCTGGTCACTTCGTACCGCCTTCTGCTCACTGATGATGCTGCACTTCTCCTGCACCTCCTCCTCATATTTGCTCTGACTGGACTCCAGCATCTCCTTATCAGCCATGTCCGCCTTCATCTGCGCCTCCAGCACCTGTTCAGTGCCAGCCAGCCCATAGAACCACAACCAGGATGTCACTTAACAGGACAGTGTGAAGATGACTTAGAAGCTTTGAGCACAACTGATTCACGCATTTAACACAAAGGACTTCATGTAGGTTTATATAAATGTATTTGTCTGGTGTTTTCCATGGCTGCAGAAAGTGTGCAGATTATTTGAACAGAACCTTTATTTTGTCCTCGTACAGCTTCTCCTTTTGTTTCAGATGAGTCTCCAGTCGCTGGGCTGTGGATTGGGCTTCTCGCAGATTCTCCTCCAACTCCTGCACAAAAGTACAGATGGTCCGGAGCCATGCTAACGCAGGGTAAAACTGCCTAAAAGATAATTCATGGAATAAAGCGTTTATTTTGTACGTGAGGTATCTCCTGACACTTTTATTGCATTTATGTGTTCATGCATCTGAGCTCTGAGAGCCCTTTGATTCAGGGTGTCTGTGGGAGATCACTTCAGAAAAAAAAGGCTCGTGTTGTTCACGATGCCTTCGGGACAGGCTTCCTGTAAAGCAGTGTTGACAGGCTGGTGTATTACTCATGACATTTAGGCATGAAACATCAGCAGGTCTTTTCTGTCAGTGCAGCCAGTATGTGACTTCATGAAACCCGTTATCATCATCAACAATGCCTTCTTCTCTTTTTGGCTTCATGTTCGACATAAAGTGACGGGAAGAATAATGTACATCTTTTTCAGCTCTGATGTTTTCATGTCAGGACATAACAAAACAAAAAAAGACCTGGTACTTGCCAAGTCCTAAAATGAAT